GGTAGTATTTATTTATTTTTCTTTTAAAGATTTTATTTATTTATTTATTTATTTATTTATTTATTTATTTGAGAGACAGACAGAGGGAGTGGGAGAGGAACAGAGGAAGAAGGACAAGCAGACTTCAATCTGAGTGCAGAGCCTGATGTGGGGCTTGATCCCAGGACCCTGAGACTATGACCTGAGCTGAAATCAAGAGTCGGATGCTTAACCAACTGAGCCACCCAATTGGGAAGTATTTCTTAAGACAGAAAAAGCACTAACCATACAGAAAAAAAAAACAAAAACAAAACCTGGATACATTCAACCCTGTTAAAAGGAAGAACTCTGTACACCAAAGACACTTATAAAAGAGCAAAGACAAGGAAAAAGATACCAAAAACACATAAATGAAAAAACATTACAATCTAAAATAAAGAACTCCCACACAAATCATCAAGAGAAATACATACACACAGTAGTGAAAAAATAAGCTAAAAACATGAGCAGGCACTTCAAGAATGATTGATAAACATACGAAAATGTGTTTGACCTTATTAACATTCAGGAAATTCAAATTAAGAACATGATACCATTTTATAACTACTATATTGGGAAAATACTAACTCTGTTTAAGTGCAACAATATCAAATCAGAAACAATGGGTAATCTCTTAACAGCTGCTGTGTATTTTGCATCATCATGTTGGAAAACAATATAGCATTATCTTGGGTAAAGTTAAAGATAAGTATAATCTTGGGGTGCCTCGGTGGTTCAGTCAGTTATGCAATCCACTCTTCGTTTTGGCTCCAGTCATGATCTCAGGGTCATGAGATCCAGCCCTGTGTTGGGGTATGTGCTGAACGTGGAGCCTGCTTAAGATCCCCTCTCTCCTTCTCCCTCTTCCCCTCCCCGCTCATGCTCTCTCTCTCTCTCTCAAAAAGAAAAAAAAGGTAAGTATAATCCAGGTCTCCACAATTCTATTTTTTTTAAGTTTGTTTGTTTATTTATTTTAGTAATCTCTACACCCAGCGTGGGGCTTGAACTCACAACCCCGAGATCAAGAGTTCCACCACCTGAGCCAACCATGTGCCCCTCCACAATTCTATTTTTAAGTATATATCCTTGTCTTACTAATCGAAGTGTAATTGGCTAACCAGTAGCAACTGTATCACCTAGACTTGTTAGAAATGCAGAATTTCAGGCCTCACCCAGATCTATTGCATTGGAATCTGCCTTAGGACAAGATCCCCAGATGATACGAATGTTCATTACGATCTGAGAAGCACTGCCCTAAAGAAACTCTAGCACATGTACCAGGAGAAAAGAATGTATTTAGCAGCACTGGTGGTAATAGCAATAGCAAAGAACTGGAAACAGCACAAATGTTCACTGCATAGAGAATGGATAGATAAATAGTGGCATGGTCATAAAAGCTAGTTGCAGGAAGATAGAATTTGATACCATTTTTATAAAACTCAAAAATAAGCCAAGGTAAACAAGATATTGTTAGAGATTCATATATAACATATGGAAACAAAGGTATGCTGAACACACAACGCAGGATGATGTTTACCTCAGGTGAGAGGAAGGGTTAAGAGGAGCAGACAGTGTGACCTTCCCGAGAATAGGAAAGGTTCTATTTGTTAAATTGGGTAATGAGTTCAAGGTTTTTGTTATTATGTGCGACTTACCTATATGTTACATTATTCTTTTGTAAGTGTACAATGTAACACAAATTTTAACAGTGTCATTGAGCTATATACCATGAAATTCACTTGTTTTAAGTGTACAATTCAGTGATTTTTAGTACATTTTACAGTTACGCAACCATCGCCACAGTCTGGTAATAGGAAATTTCCATCACCACAAAAAGCTTTTTCCCATTCCCATTCCCAGTCATTTGCCATTTCCCATCCCCATTCCCAGCCCCAGGCAACCACTAATCTGCTTTCTGTCTCTGTAGATTGTTTTATCTACAGATAAATAGAATCATAAATAGAATCATGCAATATATAACCTTTCAGATCTGGCTTCTTTTACTTCCCATAATATTTTTGAGGTTCATCCATGTCACAGCATGTACCAGTGTTTCAGTCATTTTTAAGGATAAATAATCTTTTATTATGTGAATATACCACATTTTGTTCATTTGTTCATCTGTTGAAGAGTATTTGGACTGTTTCTAGTTTTTGGCTATTAAAAACAATGCTATTGCCATTATTCTTGTACTAGTCTTTGTATGGACATATGTTTTCCTTTCTCTTGGGTAGATACTTAGCAGTGGAACTGATGGGTCATAATCAGTCACTTTATTAATTAGGAAAAGGAAAAAATGGTTCTTTGGTTCTTTTGAACTCAAGCAAAAGGAGTAACTAGTAAGTAGGTGGCATAACTGTTGATGCTGAAAGATAAGGACACACACCACACTGAATGTGGAAGTAGTAATCCATTGAGGTCAAAAGAGGGTAAAAGAAAAGAATAACCAAATATTTTCTTGGGAGAAGGTAGAATTAAAGGGAAAGTTAAGAGAAAGAAGGTGGTATAGGGGCCCTGGGAAGAAAATAATTCACTTCAAAGTCACGGCTACTACATCTTGTTTTTAAAAACACACGCACATATGGGGTTATCGAATAAGTAGTGCCTATAAAATGTTTTGTTAATAGGAAAGTTAAAAAAAATTAAAGTTCTTCTGACTTTCCAGATTTTGTTATAAAAGTAATGATTTGGATTTATTGCTTATAATAGTTTGTATGTGAAATATACTGAAAAGCAAATAAAGCAAAAAAAAAAGTGTGAGTTTGGGTAATATTAGACAGTAAATCTGTGAAATAACTGAGAATTTGTTTCACAGCCACTAACCTTCAATGTTGAGGATTTATAATGTTTTTTTCCCATTTTTTTAAAAGATTTTATTTATTTTCACAGAGAGAGAGAGTGAGAGAGATAATGAGAGCAGGAACACAAGCAGGGGGAGGGGGAGAGGGAGAAGCAGGCTCCTGGCTGAGCAGGGAGCCCAATGTGGGGCTCAAGCCCAAGAGCCTAGGATCATGACCTGAGCTGAAGGCAGGCAGATGCTTAATGGCTGAGCCACCCAGGTGCCCCTCCCATTTTTTTTTTGTCTTTAATTCTTTAATTTTAATTCCCATCTAGAGGGCAAAACCCAGGCAAATGTCATCCTGGAAGTTTCTAGAAATTAGTGTCCTAGTTACTCTGAGAAAGACTATTAAAGCTCTGAACTTTTATATTCCCCCCAATCAACTTGACCTGAATTTGACATTCTCCAAGAGCCAAGTAAATCAAGGTTATATGTCTGTGATATATACTATATATGCTGGGCAGCTGCATCTGACAACATTCTCTAAGAAGAAAAGATAATGTCTTTATTTTAGACATTAGGTAACCTTTATCTTCTGTGAAAGAAAAAACTGAAAAGGCGATTTAGGTCACCAAGAACCCTCCATGGGAATAAGGAATACCAGTCACTGGGTAGGATTCCAGCATAGACTTGTGACTCAATTAGTGGTACAGAGCCTTTGCTACAAAGTATAGAAATGTCCCATTTTCTGTAATCAAGGCGGGTACAATACAAGCTGAAAGGGGTATTTTCCTACTCATCAGGTCTTCACCGTTAACTCTCTCCAAGTGCCTTCCCTTTGTGTTCCCTTAACAGTCTCTATTTCCGGGCGCCTGGGTGGCTCAGTTGGTTAAGCGACTGCCTTCGGCTCAGGTCATGATCCTGGAGTCCCGGGATCGAGTCCCGCATCGGGCTCCCTGCTCAGCGGGGGGTCTGCTTCTCCCTCTGACCCTCCTCCCTCTCATGCTCTCTGTCTCAAATAAATAAATAAAATCTAAACAAACAAAAAACAGTCTCTATTCCCACTTCATGGATGAAAAAGTTGGTCGTTGGTGGGCACAGCAATGGCTTGCCCAACTTGGTCCCTGAAACTAACTTTGAGCTGCCTCCCCAACTCCCCCGCCTCCAGCGTGCTCTTTTACCTCCTCCGGGGACTCTCCCCCCCCCCCCCCACGCGCAAAGTTATCTCAGGCCCCGCCCCGCCCGCTGGTTGGCTGTGAGGTGGGAGGCTCGTTCCTTCCCTCGCCATTGGCCGCTCAGGGGGAGATGCGTTTCCCGGCTCCCAATAGGTCGCCCCGCGAGACAACTCTAACAGCCACGGAGCATGTGTCATTTCCGGGTAAGATGGCTGCAGTGCGTGTGCTGAGGTCCTGGAGCCAGAATGCTGGGCGGCTGGTAAGCGGTTTGGGGCTCATTTGACGTCGGGAAGGGGTGATTTGTCGCTAGTATTCCCGGGGAGGGTGTTACTTTGTCGTCCGAGTGCCAGGCGGACAGGGCACGCGAGATGGAGAAGTGGAAGGATGTATGCTAAACGAAGGGCAGAGAAGGTGGCGAGCGGACCGGTCCGGAGACCCACTCCCTCCTTACCTGGCCGCATTTCTGTCGCGACTCCGTCTCTTTCCAGCTTTATCTACACCCAGCCCATTTGGCCTTTCACCCGTTAGCCTTTTATTGGGCACCATCTAGGTGCTGGGCATTGTGATAGGCACTGGGGATATGGAAATATATATTCATTCAGCATTTATTGAGCACCCACTGTGTGCCAGACACCGACAACACGACCCTGCCTCGGAGAACTTACAGTCTAGAGGAAGAGACCGGTAAAGCAAAGCATAACACCACGGGTCCTTGCCTCCGAGGAGCAGAGAGATTCAGATTTCTTTCTGTGGACCTGCGCCACGTATCTTTACAGCCTTTTTATCACCAGAGCTACGACCTACCACCATCTCCCTTGATGTTTCTCCCTTTGAACAACCATTTAGCACCAGACACCTAACATCCCAGTAATCATAGTGTTTCGTCCTATTTGCATAGCGTTTTTCCTTCTGGGATCCCTCTTCCCTAACGTCTTACAGTGGTCGACCCCTGATCTTACAAAATCTGTCAAGAGCCTCCTGTGTACCAGGTACTGTGCCAGGCGCTCGGGAAACAAATGTGAGTAGGAGAGGCCCCTGCCGTCTCAGATTAATTACAACATTGTGGTGAAAGGCAGGGGAGAAAGAGACATAAACAGGGATTTTATTTATTTATTTGACAGAGAGAGAGAGATAGAGAGAGAGCACAAGCAGGGGGAGTGGCAGGCAGATGGAGAGGGAGAAGCAATCTCCCCACTGAGCAGGGAGCCCAATCAGGATCTGATCCCAGGACTCTGGGATCATGACCTGAGCCGAAGGCAGATGCTTAACCGACTGAGCCACCCAGGCACCCCAGACCTGCTTCACTTTTTATTCTAGCCTATAAATCTCCAAAATTTAGTCATTATTCTCCACCTTGCCCCCAACTGCAGCTATCCTGGTCCTTCCTAATTGGACTTTCTGCCTCCAATGGGTGCCTCTCCAACCCATTCTCCATAGTGTAACCAGGGTGATCTTATAAAGTAAGACATGCATTTGAGAATGCCATTTCCTTGCTTAAAACTGCTGCAAGCAAAATGTCCAAAATCTAAAAGACTGTGAGGTAATTTATGATCTGGACCTTTCCAAATCTCTCAGGCTTCATTTCTTGCTGAAACCTACTCACCCCAGCCCCCACTCTGACACTTCCCTCACCCTTGTCCCACACTGAACCACACTGGAAGTACATTGAGCTTCAATTAATTGAACATACTGTTCTCTCTCTCTCAACTCCAGACCTTTGCACATCTATTTCCTCTGCTTTAAAGACTCTTGCTTTCTTTCCCTATGGCCTCATCTGCAATACACTCATCTCCTGGATTACTCCTACTCATCCCTTAGATCTTACTTCAAGTTTACTTTCTTGAAGTAGGTTGGTTCCCTCCTTTATGTTTGTTTTTAATACTCTGTTTCTCCCATTATAACACTATGGTCATCATCACCTCTTTAATTGTCTTCCTTTGTAGGTATGGACTGTACATTCCATGAGAGAGGAATTCATCTATTTTGTTCTCTAATCCCAAGTGCCTGGCATAGTGTAAATACTCAATAAACATTTGTTGAACAACTCAGTAAAAAGTCTATTTTTTCCATTTGTTAAAAAGTTATAAACAACAAGAGGTCTTTTTTTTTTTTTTTTAAGATTTTATTTATTTATTTGACAGAGAGAGAGAGAGAGATCACAAGTAGGCAGACAGGCAGGCAGAGGGAGAGGGAGAAGCAGGCTCCCTGCTGAGCACAGAGCCCAATGTGGGGCTCGATCCCAGGACTCTGGGATCATGACCTGAGCCGAAGGCAGATGCTTAACCATCTGAGCCACCCAGGCGTCCCATCAAGAGGTCTTAATACTTATAGTAAATTATTAACAGGGCCTCACTATGTTGTGTTTTATACTCCCCCATTGCATCAAGCATTGACTCTTGATTAACTTATTATATTGAATTAACATTGAACTTTTCAATTTTGTCTGTCTTCCTGTAATGAAGTGTAAGCAACTTGAATTTAGGGACTATATTCTGTAGCTTATTTAGCTTTGAATTCCCAAGCCCAGCACAATCCCTGTCTTTAGGAGTGCTCAACAACTGCCTGTTTTAATTATTATTTATTTCCTTATTTGAATCTGCTAAACTTTGTTTCATCTCCTATCTTTTGTATTCTGTTTCTAGAAAAAAATGTCTTTTTTAGCTTGACAAATTATTTTTTCTCCTTCTCCCTGCTGTTGCTTTTTTATCTTTCCATTGAGCAGCTTCACTAATGTTTTTTAGCCTTCTCTTAATCCATGTAATCACTATCACATACTGTCTGTTGTACTTACGTTGCTTTCTCCTTTTCCACTGTAAATCACTTCAGGAGCCTGTTATTTCATGCCTCAAATACTATAATAGTATCTTAACTTTTTCCTCTCTTACTTGGTTTTCCTGTTAATAATCAATAAACTGCAACTGTATTAATTTCTTAGTCCTTTTTCTTCAATAATCTATAGTGTAGGAGTTCAAACTCCTCATCCTGACATTTACAGTCATCAATAATTTGGTCCTTGAGCCACTTCCAATGCTCCCTTTTATAAATTTGATCAAGCCAAATCAAGCAACTCACTGCCTGAGGAGACAAATTCCGGCAGCAGTTCCTTTGTTTATTCTGTTCCTTGTGCCTTAAAAGTGCATTTCTGCTCTTTAATTATTAATACTTACTATGCAAGGCCCACCTCAACTCTTCCTCCTGCAAGCCTTCCCAGATCAAGCCAACCTGAAAAAACAAAACAAAACACAAAAAAACTCTACTAAAACTCATCTAAAACCTACTGCCTATACTTATTACAAAAAGCTAGAGCATACATGCCCATGCATGAGTGGGGGGGGGGGGCGGGGATAGTGTTTCAGCTAGGTTATAAATTCAAAGTGGGGATTATTTCTCCTACGTATAACAATGTGGTGTGAGAGAAAGAGCTTCAGCTTTAGAGTCAAATTTACTTGGTTTCAGAGCTGAATTTTGCCATTTGTTTGTTTTGTGACCTTGGGCAAAGCACTCATTAGTTTTTCAAAGAGGGCTAACGTGCCTTTTCTAGAAGGTAATTGTGAGATAAAAAGAAGATAAAAAAAGAGACTTTTAAAGTACCCAGCTCTTAGGTAGGAACTCAATAAAGTTTGATAGTTCCTGCCTCCCTTGCCTGGTGAGTAGAGTAGTTCTTCAATAAAAGTTGCCGTTGTTGAAGGTAGGACCTTCAACAGAGGTTTTTTTTTTTTTTAAGATTTTATTTATTTATTTACTTGACAGAGACGGCCGAGAGAGGGAACACAAGCAGGGGGAGAGGGAGAGAAAGAAGCAGGCTTCCCGCTGAGCAGGGAGCCGGATGTGGGGCCCAATCCCAGGACCCTGGGCTGAAGTCAGACACCTAATGACTGAGCCACCCAGGCGCCCCCTTTCAAAGGTTTTTTAAAAAACGATTTTTTTTTTTAAATCAAGGTGAATCCATATAATTCAAAACTTCCATTTACTGCCCTAAATTAAAATTTATGAATGTCTGATGAGGTGTAAGTTGATTTACGCCTTTGATTCTGTTGTTGACTAAGATCCAGGGTTGAGGGAGTTGAAGGAGAAAGAAAGGACACAGAAAATGGGGGTTTGGGAAAGAGAATTCTTTCACTATCTGCTAAGTTTTTTTTTTTTTTTTTTTTTAAGATTCTATCCATTTATTTGACAGAGACACAGCGAGAGAGGGAACACAGGCAGGGGGAGTGGGAGAGGGAGAAGCAGGCCTCCCCCGAGCAGGGAGCCCGATAAGCGGCTGCAGCCCGATGCAGGGCTCGATCCCAGGACCCTGGGATCATGACCTGAGCCGAAGGCAGATGCTTAACAACTGAGCCACTCAGGTGCCCCCCTATCCACTAAGTTTTAAGCTATCAATTTTAGTTAAGTTTTATGTTTCCTGAATGTTAATAAGAGTAAAATAGGTATTGTAAAGATTAGTTGCTTTATGATTATCTCTTAAGATAAAGCTAAGATGCATGATTTAAGATTATTTATGTTTTAGGAAGGGGATCTTTAGTTTTTCTTTGCCTTCAGAAATCAGTAACAGCTTGGAAATTAAGGTGAAATATCATGTAATAATTTATATGTATTGTTCCTATTGGTAAACCAAATATTTGTTTTTATATTATTTGCTCTCAGAAAAAGAACAAAATTCATTATAATATGGCTGTAATACATAACATAATACGTATTATAACATAAAAGGCTAATCACCACTAAAGGATAAAGTACATGACAATAAAGTAATTTTTTAAATTAAAAGTAACTCCTACATTAATAAAAAAATTTCAGATACATTCCACTATTCTCAAATACAGAAAGGGGGTTAGAGATTTTATGTTTAGGGGCGCCTCGGTGGCTCAGTCGTTAAGCATCTGCCTTCGGCTCAGGTCATGATCCCAGAGTCCTGGGATCAAGCCCCACATCGGGCTCTCTGCTCAGCAGGAAGCCTGCTTCTCCCTCTCCCACTCCCCCTGCTCGCGTTCCCTCTCTCGCTGTGTCTCTCTCCGTCAAATAAATAAATAAAATCTTAAAAAAAAAAAAAAAAGAAATTTTATGTTTAAAAGTGTGATGTAGTTAACCAGGTATTAATAATGTTGAAATATTAACTTTCAAAATAAAATAGTCTATTTTTCAGACACATAGGTTCTAATATATCAAGTTGAATAGATTCATGTCTACTTATTTCTATTACATATTGTCTTGCATTAAACTAAGATGTTATACAAAATGGTTACACCTAAAGAGTCATCTGTAAATTACAGTAAGAAATTATAGTAAGAAAACCTTTCCCTATAGCACTACACATGTTTTTCAGTGTCTTTAGATGCTAACAGTCAGTTTTGAATTGTTTAATAGTTTTAGGAAGTCTTTAGTGACTTGACTGCACCTACAAACCGATGTGTTTGTATAAAATACATTGTTAAAATTTCTTCACTTTCATAAGAAATTTTAGGCAAGGGTCATAAACATATAAACAAATCTGACTCCAAGGATGTAGTTTTACTAAATAAAAGAACAAAATAATGTTCTCTGGGTGCTAGGGTTTAAGTTCCTTTGATTTCTTGAACAGAAATACTAAAGAAATAACCAATCTTAATAAACTTGATTTTCACTGATTCCAGATTTTGGCCAGTTCAGATTTTGGCCTGGATAATTTCATATTGTTTCTTTGTGATAATGACTGTTTTACTTTTAGAATAGACTTGAAATTCAGTATGTACTTACAGAGATAAGCCATCAAGAACATTCACAAAAGCGTTTACTTTTTTGTTTTCTCATCTTTAGATTTGTGTTCGCTACTTTCAAACATGTATGAATGTTCATGTTTTGAAGCCAAAATATGTGTGTTTCTTTGGTTATCCTTCATTCAAGTATAGTCATCCACATCAGTTGCTGAAAACAACTGCTGGTAAGTATGATCTCAAAATAGCCTATATAAAATAATGTTTTATATCGTACTCAGAACTTTTATTTTTATTTTTTAAAGATTTTATTTATTTATTTGACAGAGAGAGACACAGCAAGAGAGGGATCACAAGCAGGGGGAGTGGGAGAGGGAGAAGCAGGCTCCTGGCTGAGCAGGGAGCCCAATGTGGGGCTCGATCCCAGGGTCCTGGGATCATGACCTGAGCCCAACAACTGAGCCACCCAGGCGCCCCTCATACTCAGAACTTTTAAAAAAGTAATTGAAGACTTATCAAAGTAAAAAAAGTTAACCTTTTCTTTCTAGCCCAGCCCTCCTTGCTTTCCCTGAATCTATCCTTTTCTTATCTTCTTTTTTCTGTGACCCCCCCCATCCCTTTCATATCTTTACATTAATGCTTGTGTCTTCATAATATTGGGAATGGGTTGTCTTGGGCCATCTGCTCTTTTTTTTTTTTTTTTAATTCTTATGTTAATCCCCATCCATTACATCATTAGTTTTAGATGTAGTAGTCCATGATTCATTGTTTGTGCATAACACTCAGTGCTCCATACAGAATGTGCCCTCCTCAATACCCATCACCGGGCTAACCCATCCTCCCACCCCTCTCCCCTCTAGAACCCTCAGTTTGTTTTTCAGAGTCCATCGTCTCTCATGGTTCGTCTGGGCCATCTGCTCTTTATCATGTGGCTCATCTAAGTGCAATAGTCAGGTAAATTGTTGACTTAGCAGATTGTATCCTTATACTGTCATTGTATTACTGGTTGCGTGAAGCACCTACCTCAGTCTGTTGTGTTAAGATTGTGTGATGAAACATCCCAAAGTGTTCCTAAATAGAAAGTTTTCTGACTTTTACCATTTAATTACCTTTCTCACTTCTTTTTCTACCCTCAGTAAAGAACTTGAGGTTTAAGTATTAGATTTGGCAAGGGCACTAAGATTTTTTTTTCTGATATTCTATTTCGAACTCTCATAAAGAACCCTCGCCATTAAGCTTTTGACAGATACTTGATGCCTTAGTCTGTGCTAGCAATGAAAAATGGGGGAATTCCAGGCAGATCCAACCCCTGAGATCAGTCTTTCCATGCCTTTTTATAGGTCATCTTCCACAACACCCTAAGATACATAAACCCTACCTTTGCCTTTTTTTTTTTAACATTTTTATTTTTATAAGTTGATCTTTTCTCTTTATTTCTCAGAGAAAATAGAGGCCATTCAAGCAGAAACTCCCACTTTCCTGCTCTAATCTCTAAACACCTTGAGCTTTGGGTTCTTGGTCTATCTATTACTAGCAGTGTAACTTTAAGCAAGTTACTTAATTCCTTTCTATTTCATCATCTGTAAAATGGGAGTAATCATAGTGCCTAACTCATTGTATTGTTGTGAGAATAAATTCATTTAACACAAGTATTTATTGATCACCTGCTATCTGCCAAGGCACTGTTCTAGGTACTTGGGATACATTCTCTTCCTATATTTCCTAACTCAGTGAATACTTAAGCTAGAAACCTGGAGACTTCCAGATTCCTGTTTCACATCAAATTGATTACTGAGATTTATTAATTTGACATTTTATGTGGTTCTTAAATCTGTCTTTTTTTCAGACAGCTTTGAAAATATATAAATATATTAAATTCTATACTTGAGTTTCGTACCTGTAGTAGCCTCCTAACTGCTTTCTCTGTCATCCCTTCCCCAAC